CACATACTTTTCTGATGCCTTGGTACTAGCCTTTGCTTGACGTTTACTCTTTTGGATTTTACCAGATTTCAATTTTTCAGCACGTATGATTTCACCTCTTTTCAATATTTTAGCATAAGGATTAAGACGAATCATGACACCATTGTTACGTAATGGATTCTTCTTTTGTGTATATGGTCGTTTTGTGTGTTTCTCTCTTGCTGGTCTTAGGATTGATTGGATTTCATTAGAGTTGATGAGACGTGTTACATCAGAATTGGATATGATATGTGATGGTAGACTAATAATTGCATAAATAATATACATGTGTGTGTTATTAAAAATAAAATTATAAATATCAATAATTTTTTTATAATAATAATGATAATAGCAATAATAATAATAATTTAGTACCGATAATCCTTCTTCATAGAAGAAGATCTTCTATAGGTGCCAAACAAACAATCCAACAAAGCAAAAGCACTTCGAGACCAGATAATAAATCTACCCAAATGACCACCTGGTGCTAACTGTAATAAATTCAAACTTCTAACATTAACTACTTCAACGCCAGGAATATTACGAAATGCCTTAACAATTCCATTATCAGTATTATAAACAATAAGAGGTCCTCTACGTTGTCTGTGACGCCTATTACGCATTTTCCCCTTGCCAGCCCTCAATTTACGAGAATTGGATACTTTAGTAATATCTCGATAAGCATTAACTGCTTTAAGCAATTGGACTGCTGCTTTTGTCTTCTCCAATGATTCAATACCATCACCTATCACCAATGGAACTTCTTGAATCTCTTCAATTCTATGTCCACGTGCTAAAACTAAAGCCGGAACCGATGATGCTGCTAACGATGATGCGATGGCATATCTTTTTTGATTTAAATTGGTTTTAACATGCCACTTACGCCAAGTTTTTGTAGGTGAAAACATACGTCCTCCACGACACATATTACCAAAAGCTCCCTTAATTAATAATAATAATAATAATAATAATAAATATAATATATTAATATTAAATGAAAATTATTTATAATTTTGATTGATTATATAATGTATCATCATCAACATCATGTAATATATTATTTACCTGACCAGCACGATGTGTTCCGCCTCCAGATACACGAGGGATACGTGCTACAGCACGACCAGTACCCCAAGACTCAGCAGATGTTTGATGACCAGCCTTTGATGAGAC